CAGCCAGCAGCACATGGTGGAGATCAGGATCACCTTCTGTGCAGCCMAGTGCCAGATCAGCTCCACCTGCACCCTGCACGCTCATGGATGATCCTGCTTCCATGACTACGGAGTACAACTACTGTTGGAAGAACAGCCAAGTGAAACAAGCCATCTGTCAATCCCCAGGGAATTGTATTCCTGAACTTAAGAAGTGAGGACATATTTCAGCAGGATGGGCTACAGATCCATCATTATCTGCACTCCCTGCTTCTCTGTTAGCTGGGACAAGGCAAACAATGGTAATTTTCTTCAGCAGCATCCCAAAAGCCTATTTAAGAAAGTAAGATGGCCCTGAGAGACATTTTTTACGTATTCATGTTAAAATCAAAGACTGAGCCACAGGTTCAGCATGTTTGGAACCATTTTGCTGTAAGGAAGCAGATCTTGGGTTCAGTGAGCCCAGAAATTCAGTCAGAACATGCATGAACAGAACATTCACAACAGAAACCTCATCCCAGGAGAAGCATTCCTCAGGACACAGAAGAGGAATGTGTGCGTGTCCCATGCACAGGGATGGACTGCCAAAGCTGCTGCTTGGGCATACAGGAAGGGACCCCTGGGCTGGGCACTGCCCTGACTCAAGGGCTGAGAACACAGCAAGATAAGGATTGTGCTGCTGCAGCACTGAGCCTGCTGGCCCAAGGCCAATCACYCCGTGGGGACCAGCAGGGCTGGGGCTCCGTGCACAGACTGGGACAGGAGAACAGTGGTCAACACCTGGYTGGGAAGCTGCTCATCACCAGTCTCCCTCAAGGGCTGCCTCTGTCAACTCTGCTTTTGAAGACTTCGAGGATAGAAAGATGTACAAAGCTTTAGAGCTTGACACCATCTAAGTTCTGCTCACTGCAGAGCGTTTTAGTCCAAGGCAAGCAAACGGGGAATCGATGAGAAGTTAAAGCGTGTGGAGAGAAGCTGTTCAAGACAACATCAAAGAAGGTGCATGTGCACAGACTGCAAACAGGCTGACACCATGGTTTTGTATATCCACCCTGCAAACAGGAGTAGAAAACCGCTCAGGAGATATCAAAGAGAGAAAGCAGAGAGTACTTTGAAATGGAAGTGAAAAAAATTGGACCTAAAAAAGGAACTATGGAGGAAGCTAATTTGAAAAAGGCAGCATATCCTGGATACTGCCCGATCTCCTGGCAGTGTTAGTCTTGGTGTGGGGCTGAAAATAAAGACTGCCTGCACCAAGATCAGTGCGCGCACACAGAGCTGGCTGAGTCAGGTTTAGGTCCCACTGAGTGCAAGGATGCATTCCCACTCCCTTCATCCTTGTGAAATGCATCCAAGATGCTTCACACATTTWAAGTTCAGCTTCTCAGGTCATGCCCCTGGGTGCATTTTCCAGGCTGAASTCCCAAGAGAAACCTTGAACATAACTGAGTGCAATCAGCTGAACACACTGGCTCTGACAGACAAACCTGCAGAGGAGCCAAGCAGCACCGCTCCCAGAAGGAAAACCACATGCAGGGAGAGGGGAATCACAGCTCTGGCCCCACAAGGCCACTGTCATCATCCCCAATACAGTCAGGAATGCAGCAGCACATCCATCACGAGCTCCGTCCCCTGCTGCTTACACCGAGCAGCATGGGGTTTGCAGCAGGGAATGATGGCTAGGTGYGGAGAAAAAGCACCCAGGGGTACTGGCCTGGGATAAATAACTGTGCCAAGGAAGTGACAACAAGTCTAAATGGGGAACCTGTCCCATAGGACCTGACAAGTGTGGCAACAGAGGTCCCCAGGGCAAAAGGGCAGGAGTAGGAGATTACCAGGGGAACAAGGTGGGAAAATCAAACCCACCTCTGCTACCTGCAGAATAAAAAGGGCTCCAACCAGGTCTCTTAAGGTCTGTGCAAGGGGACAGCTCCAGGTCATGCAATACTGAGCCACTTCAGTGCATGTGCTCAGTGTGCTGGAAGGAAGGAGCAGCAGCTCTGAGGCACAGCAGCACTCAGACCCCACAGGCAGGGAAGGGAAAGGAACAAGTCCCTGAGCGTGCCGGGAAGAGGAGGCTGCTCTGCACCATAGCTGCTGAGGAACAGCCTCCCCTCTTCTGAGCACTTCTTGAGCTCCTTCATCACTCAAGCAGGAGTACAACCGTTTGCCAGATGGAGCAGGCAGCTGTAAAGCAGGGAAGCAGAGCTGTTCTACAGAGCACAAGCACTCTGGGATCAAGCAAGCAGCAAACTTCAGTTTCCAGATTTCACTTCTGTAAGGAAGTTTCCAGCTCATTAACTCTCCTTGTTTAACTTTACTGCTGGATGCTGCCAGAAGCAAGAAGTATRAGGTTAGAGCAGACTTTTTGTGGCCTTAAAAAACACTTGTTGGAGCCTCTGCTCAAGAGGCTGGTCAGCATCCCGCTGGCCACAAGGAAAGGCATYTTTCACATCCATCCATGGGAGGATTCCTTTCACACATAAATTACTAAGATGAGATGGAATAAAGGCATTAACACTAATATCTGAGTTTCATTTGTTAAGGAGTGCTTCTCACTACACCCCACAAATTTCTTGGCAATTAACTGAAAATCAGTCACCCTCTCCCAGCATTAGGTACGCCATAAAGCAGCCTCCTTTTCCAATTCTCCTCTGCCTCGTGCCCTTCTCATTCTCCCAGCATTCCCAGTCTGCACAGTCACAACCATCCCCTCCTTGGCTRCTCTGTGAGTCCTCAAAGAGAAGGATGTACAGGACACTGAACAGTCTCCTTGTGGCTGCCATGGATGGGCTTGGAAAAGGAACAAGGGTCCTTCACTCTCCACTCAGCAGGTTTCTCTGGCCACTGCAGCACAGCCACTCTCAGTGGCTTCCTGTGGACAGCAGGAATGCAGCAGAGTGCTTTGCACCCACCTGAATGCAGGGTTTCAGGAAAGCATCGCTCTGGCTCACCCCACTCTCAAAGTAAGGCTCAGGCAGAAGCCACCTCCAGCTCCTCCAAGGCCAGCTTGATGAGCCTCCACCCTCCCCCTCCACGATGATTTCAACTTGACAGCTCCCAATAAACCAAACTTTAAGAAGAGGCCCCCGGAGAGCATCTGGAAGCTAATTAATGTTCTAATGAAGAGCATGACTGCCTTGTTTGCTTGATGGTTCCCAGGTCAATCAATCTGCTGTAGACTGGCTTGCAGAAAAGCAGCAAGGAGCCCAGTACCCTCGGTGGCTGCTCAGTTATCATGCCCTGCCATCCCTCCCCCCATGTTCATTACTGTCAAACACCCAGCAGAGAGAGCACAGATTTATAGAGGCCACTGCAGCTTCTCCCTGAGCGCCCAATCCTGGATTAGTCATGAAGGAACAGGACAAGGATGGAGGGATGGGGAGCTGCATGGGGAGGTGCACGAGTGTGGAAGGGGTGAGAAGGTGCTCTGAGGGTGGGGGTGTTGTGTGAAAGCCCTGGTTTTTCATTCTGCTGCTGCCAGAAGGACTCCCTAGCGCTCAGACCCCAGGACTGTGCCAAATTGCTCCCTACTTGTGCTGCAGGGGAATGGTAAGTGCAGTAACACACACCATGACAATGGCAATTTAATACACCAGCACAAATCTGCTCAGGCCTCCCTGCCAAAAGAGAGAGACCTTTGCAGACACCCAAGCCTGCCCAGACTGCAGCACTGCCCCTGTTGTGCACTGTCTGCTGCCCTTGGCTGGGTCCTGCAGACCACATGGACACGCACAGCTCCCAGACAGCACCTGCTGTCTCCACGCTCCATCCCTGGAAACCTGGCAGGGACAAGCAAGATCTGAGGAAGAGATGGAAAGAGAGCCTGCCTGACAGCCCCTGGGTCTCCCCTTGACCTACATGGATCTATCTCCACCTTCCTCCCTCAGGCAGGACCCAGAGCCCACCAGGGAGAGGTAAAAAACACRGAGACCTGGACAACTCTTCTGTCAAGGCATCACTTGAGGGTTACTGCCCCAATCACTTGAGGGTTACTGCTTCAGTAAAGAACAACAGGCTGCCAGAGCACRGTTTAACTGTCCTGCCTGCCACCCCGAGCTGTGACACACAGGCTCTCTTTTTGAAGCTGTTATCGAGGATTTCTCTTTCCCTYGCTGTCTCACGCACAGATATGCATGCACAGGGCTGTGAAGAAGCATTTCACTCCGGGGACCATATCCACTCGACACTGTTTCCTAGGGAAGTAAGCTAAAATGATGAACATCACCCACTCGACCTTGCAAGCAGTAAAACATGTATTACAAGGCAGCATAATCAAGATAAATGGAGAAGATTAACCTGGAGATGAGGGCAAGGGAGAGAGAGGGAAGAAAAATAATGGGAGAGCTCAKGAGGTGCCTGGAGCTCAGAGCATCCCCTGACTTTTCTAAAGACATGCTAAGGGCTGGGGAAGGTAGAGAAGAGTATGAAAAGGGACACTGATGGGAAAAACAGAAAGTCCAACCAGGAGAGGGCCCAGGAAGGAGTCCTGCACAGGAACACAAAGGAGGACYAACACACAGCAAGGACCTGAGCCAACAGTCTTGAAGGTGTTAAAAGCCTCACTCCAAACAGAGATTCCAGTCCTAAGGCTGAGACACTGTTCATGAATGTGTCCATGTGCAAGCTTTGGTGGGAACATCTCTCTCTTTGATCCTGTCTGTCCCATTCTCCTCCTTTTTTCAGAGTCTGCCCTGATGAACAGAGGCAGCAACCTGAAAACCACCCCGTCTCACAGGAACAGTCCAGAGAATGGACTGAGCTCAGCCACCTCCCTTCCCAGAAAACCCCACCAACAGCACACAAGGAGCAAAGAGAGGACCCAGTTCCCCAGAAGTGGATAAAGGAGCTCCAACATATCCACAGCAGGAGCTGAGCAGTTCCACCTGAGTCAGCTGCAAGTGAGAGACATCAGTGACTGCCAGAAGAGCAGTCCTAAGTCAAGGCAGTCACTGCAGCACCAGCACACACCCCATGGCCCCRACACCCCTTCAGCCCCTCCACGCACTCCTGGTACTCACCTGGCCGCAGGACCCTGATTTCCAGCAGGTTGGAGGTCCTGTCTGCCAGCCTGGTCCAGCTGCTGTTGTAGTTCTTCCTCCAGAGCTCAGCCACGCACTGGTACTTGCCGGCCTCRGTGTCGCTGGCCCTGCTGATGCTCAGGCGCACATTGTTGCTGGACTCGGCCTTCTCGATGGCCGTGCGGGTCCGGAACCCTGCGGACCTGTCGCCCCACTGGACGCCACCRTCACGCGTGAAGGTGACCAGGTCGTGGAACTCGGTGCTGCCCGCCGGCTGGAAGCGCCATGTCACCGACACCGGCACCCACGAYGGGTAGTGCGGCTTGATGATGCACTGCAGGTCGAAGGACTCGTTGTAGGTCACCCCCGGGGTGCGGGAGATGGCTGTGACAGCAAATCCGGCCTCTGCGGGAAGAGAGGAGAGGGCTTTGAGAGACCCCTGCCCACGGAGGCCCTGCTGGCAGCATGSAAAAGCCACGGTGTGGTCACCCACTGGCACAATCAGCCTCTCGAGCTGCGCCAGCCTCTCGCTTGCAGCCACCAAGTGACGTGAAAAGCAGAGGCAAAAACACACAAATGCCTGCACGGTGGTGACAGCCTGAGCAGCTGTGAGTGCCTGCGTGAGCACGGGCTGCGGCGTGCAGGATTTCTGCCCAGAGGAGTGAGATCCCCCGAGACASGGAGGGCAGGCAGCCAGCCTCTGCAGGCTGCCAAAACCCCACATAGAAACAGCAGCGGTGGCAAGGAGCAGCACCTGGCAGAGCAGAGCAGCTACCCAGCCCCCCACAATTCACCACCTGTACCCCTCGCCAGAGCTGTGACTGGTCGCTGCAGCTGCAGGAAAAACGAGGAAAGCAGCAAGTAGCAGCCTTCAACACATGCATCTACGAGGTGGCAATGGCTGCAAAACCCCAGGATGCAGGCATGATGAAAGAGAAGCTGGCTGCTCCTGCTCTCCACACAGCACAGCTTTGTTCTCTTCCACATCACAACTCCAGGATGGCTCTGTGCAGTCATCCTTGCGTGGCTGTCACTCTGCAAGTTGCTCAATACACTTTGGCCTGTCTACCCCCAGCACTCTGCTTGTTTAGAGGAGTTGAAATCAGCAGTCTATTAGTAATTAAAAGATAACACATTCCAGTTAGTCACCTGTAAACCAGTCAGGCTTACATTTTTGGTCAGAGCATTTCCACTGCTCATTTGTTCCAAACTGCAGAGAGAAATATTTTCTTCCCTTCCAATCACTTCAGCAAACTTAGCAGGGACTTTGTTTCCTTCTGCCAACATCCCCAAGAAGTGCTCCCCTCCTGGAAGGCTCCATGGGGCATCCAGACAGTGCCCAGTCAAAAATGGAACATCATGTGGATCAGCATGGAGCTTCAGCCTGCCACAGGCTCCAGGAGATGAGCCAGGAGCTCACTGCTGCTGCAGGCAGACTGGGCACAGCATGGAGACCCCAAATCCGCACACTTGCAGCAAATGCCTCTGCAACCCCACTGCGTCACCATGCCCGAGCTCTGGGATRTGTAATTACTGAGAAAACAGGTCAATCTTCGGGATTAAAACTCTCACAGCATGTTCAGTGATTACCCAGGAGAGCAGCGCGAGRCCCAGGCTGCCTCCCCCGCAGAGCTGCTTGCCCCATGTAAGCCCTCACCTTCAGACCCTGCAGCAGCCCTCCTACCCCAGCAGGTGTTACCAGGCCCAGCTCAGAGAAACCCTGAGCCAGAGAAGGCCATAGAAAGCCAAATTAATTTCACCAGGACCAGCTGACTGTATAAAGTTCACTCTCCAGCTGACTGGACAAGGAAGCTTCATATGAAGGGACTTCTCAAGTACCATGCAGAAGCCAGGTGTGTTCCTCAGGTTTTCACATCCACCAGCACAGCTATGGCACTTAGGTTAAMAAATCAAAGCCCTTCTTCTTTTGGAACTTGGTACAAAAGAAAAAAAGCCACACATAAATGTGGAAAGATTTTCTGCAAAACCTCCCTACAAAAATACAGCACTCACTCACTCCCTCCTTCCAAGGCCAGCCAGGAACTTAAGTCCTTGCCATGCACTCGAAAGCCTCAGAAGTTCTGGAACATCTGGTCTCTTCTGACACCACATCTCTCTCTTCTGCCTATTGCTTCTGAACCACCCTGTGGTTAAATTTATGGGTTTGAACATCATCTGTGTGGTTCAGCTAAAGAGTTTCTAACCCTGGCAGGCTGGAAAACAATTAGACCTTAACTTGAAATGCGAGTGTCACTAAATTTACTGTGTTTTTTTAAAAACAGCACTTTCTGAAGGCATAAACATCTTCTGGTCTTTCTTAGCACCTTGCATTTGAGTTTCTCAGGACATTTCAAAAATGTTAAGATGAACAAAAAACCCACCAGATTCAGCAGCAACAAAATAATAATCAATAGTTTCTCTACTGTATTTTCATGATGTACTTCAGCTTTGCAAGTTAAAGGAATAGACCYAGGAGTTTCTTAGGATTTGACAAAACATGCTCAATAGCCGGTGACTGGGGAGCAGAGAAGGTGCAGCAACCACCTTTCCATCACATCTTCTGGAACTGCTGTGCACTTCTGAGCATCTTAAATTTTAACAAGAGTAAAAGCAACACATTTTAAAATCTCAATGTCAACACTTTTACAAGTGACACAATAAAGAGAAGTGCTGATACTTGGGACTTGTAGCAGGCCAAAAGCTGCTGACCTCATGAGGAAGACACCATTGAAACCAGATGAGAGTTTGCCTTTAGTTCTTTACAAAAGAACATCCCTATAGCTTTTGGAAGCTATACAAAGAAGATTTCTAACTCCAGACAAAACAGCCTCTGAAAGAAGGTCAAAAGTAAAGCAGAGGAAAGGAGGAAAAAAAGCAAGATTTTCATCAGAATACAGTATGACTTTGAAGTCTGGTCTCACACACACCTTGTCAAAGCTTAAGATTAATATTGCAGGGTACCAAGAAAAGCCACACAATCCCTACCCTCGCCAATATTCCTATCTCAGCCTTTCAACAGAGCTCCCCGATTGTCTTAGCCTTGACATTCTGCAAATCAGTGGCCTCACAGAAGCAGTTATCCCTTTTTCAGCTTCTGCAGAACACTGTGGAACCAGCCCAGCAGGACCAAAGCAACACACAATCCACACAAAGTCTCTAACTCCCTGCCTGCCCTCTCCTAAACTGCTGTGGTTTCACTGTGTTTGAAGTGGAGGARCCCTTGGCAGAGCAGAGCACCAGCTGCACTGACGCCAGGTGCTGCTTTAGCTGGGTTGTGGACAACATCATGGTTCTGGGCAGCAGCTCAGCGTCCCCCTGCAGGGGCAGCAAGCACCATTCCTGACTCTTGATTTCTGTCACAGATGCCAACCATTCCTGCTGGCTGGGTCAAAGGATGCCCAGCACTCTGCACTCCTGATCTGGTGAGCACAGGTAAGGCTTACYCACAACAGGCTTCCATGTCCATGGGCTACCAATGGAACACCAACACTGCACTAACCAAAACCTGGCTCCATTGCTGCTGGGACACATCATGGGACAGTTCCTGAGGACACTGGAAGCCCTATCCCTCTCAGCCATCCCTGCTCTGCTCCTGCCACAGCCACCCCTCAGACTTGCCCCCACACACAACGGTGCATGCGGGTGTTTGCACCAACCTACAAGGAGCTGTGGGCAGGCTGCTGGGTGCCTCCACTGTGCTGGCAAGCAAGGGCTGAGAACAGCCTCAGTGACCTGCAGGTGACCTTCTAGGGGACGGCCAGGCACGTGGGGACCGCGGCCTCGGGGTCCCCTGTGCCTCAAGTACTCACCCAGAGCAGTGATGGACACCGGGGTGCTCGTGTGCCGCTCCCCAACCATCTGCCACTCCCCATCCAGCGTGCGCGTCCACTCGGCCACCCGGCACTCATAGTGGCCCTCGTCGGCCTTGACGCTGTTGAAGATCTCCAGGGTGAAGGAGCCGGGCCGCACCTGCTCCACCTGGATGCCACCGTAGCCGCTGCGCTCGGCGTACGCGGGGCCRGGGTGCAGGGTGCCCTCCCGGTCCAGACGCACGATTTCGCTGCGCCGGTTCAGCTTGTCCAGCAGCTGCCAGGTGACCGACAGGCGGCTCTGCGGCCCCAGGCCCGAGCGCACGTTGCAGCCAAAGCGCAGGCTCTCTCCCTCCAAGACATTGCTGGCGTTGTTGATAATCTCCAAGGAGATGCTGGTCTCTAAGGAGAGAAACGCACACACACAGGGGAGATGACACACACTCGCCACTGCTCGAGCTGCAAGGGGGACGCTGCTGGCCAGAGACGCTTCCTACCAGAGGCAGGGAACTGCCCACGCCTTTGGGTCCAGGCACATCTTAACCACATCCAAAAAGAGCTGGTGGGCAGCGAGCTGCTCCTGGGACTCGCACGCTCAAGGTAGGTGGTGGCCAAAGCAGGGAGAAATCTCTCAGCCTATGGCTCAGGAGATTTTGCCATGACTGTGTCTTCAGGTCACAGGTCCAGGATGGGATCTCAGCAAAACTTGAGGGAATTCCTGTTGCTACAATATGCACTGCGTGCAAGTGGCTCTGCCAGAAAAAGAAAGCTTCCAGCTCCCTGTGGCTTTTTCAATTCACGTCATCCTGATCACCATCTTGCCACATCCATTCCTACCAACACCTTTTGGGAGAAGCTCTCTCAAACTCCATAGCTCTTGATGCTATAGGTCAAGAGCTATCACTTTTTTTTTCAAAAATATCTGGTATCTTGAGTTTCCCAGAGGTGTAAGGCTTTGAGGCTGGTTTGTCAGAGATTGCTGATTACTCCTGCTGCCTTCCATCACAGATATGGACACTTAGCACCCTTGAAAAAACATCACATTTGTTYCTGCAGCTGGGGATTTATCAACGGCAAGAATCAAATCTGTCTGAAAGGTGGCTGGGTCTGGAAACAGTACTTTTTAGATATTTGTCCAATGCAAGTTCTAGCTAGAGTAATTTTCAAAGCCAAACAAAKGAGACCAAATATTGGTAGGAGAGAAAAGAAATAGAATTTCTTTTGGAGAAATGAGGATGGAAAAAAAAGCTAGAGAAAAGGGCTGCATTTCCCTACAAATCTAGGAGATAAATACAGCACAAAACCCTCTTGCTTGGTCAAAACCCACTGCCACRGCAGGCTGGGCAACCCATGCGTGGTTCACCATGCCACGGCTGCCAGGGTTTCAGAGAGCACAACACAGAATCAGTCAGCACATTCTCTTCTTTCAACCTGTTATTTCTGTATTTATCATCTGACAAACACAAAAGACATTCAGGCAAGCCTTCYGTGGCTTGTTTCCACCAGAGCTGGCTGACACACAGTGACCAGCGGAGAGCTCCACGCTGGAGAGCACTGGGGCTCAAGGAGCACCCCTGGTTTCTCTCAGTACAGCTGTCTTGCAAGACAGCTGATTCACCACCACTGAATGGTCTGCAAGGACTCGAGGCCAAGCTGGCCTCCCCATCATGCCTGCTGAATACTTCAGGGCACCCAGCTCCCTGCAGAGCAAGGTGAGGAGAGATGTGCAAGGGGCAAGTCAGAGGCCGTCTCGTGTACCTTTGGCTCAAGAACGGAATTGTTAGGTTGGTGTCATTACCAAGGTTGGGACGTGAGTCCCCACCTATGAACCTGACGCATAAGAGGTGTGTGCCCTCTTCTTCACGCCCTTCCCAACACTAAAAACACATCTTGCCACCAGGGATCCCAAGCCTCCACAGCTCGTGAACGCTCACCCTCCCTCTCCCGCACCACCACTGTCATGGCTTCCCCAGCTACCTGCCCCCAGGAGGGGATGGGCGCCTCTACTTACTGAGTGGCATGACAGTGATGGGGATGTTCTTGGGCCGCTTGCTCTCCTTGTCGATGAAGTCGCCCGTCACGGTCTTCTCGCGCTCGGTCACCCGGCAGTTGTACTTGCCGCTGTCCTCGAGCCGCAGGCGGTAGATCTTCAGCACAAAAACATTGTCGCTTTCTTTGGCCACCTTGAGTTGGCCCAGGGCCTCGCGCTGGGCAAATTCGTTGTTGAGCACTGGCACAGCGTTGGGTCCCAGGCTGGCGATGAGGGAGCTGTTGAAGGCCCAGGAGATGGAGAAGTAGCGGTCAGGGACGTTCTGTGCCTCCAGGATGCAGCGGAACTCCACCGGCTCGCCCACGATGTACATCCGCTTCTCCGTCTCCAGCCGGACACTGAACTCCTTATCTGGGGATAGACACACCGACTTGTGTCAGGGTGGCACCAGGACAGCCAGCACACCTCAGGTGAGGTGTTTACACCTTGCATGCCAACACCCCTCAGACAAGCACATCCAGTGCTGGAAGGTTAAGGACTCACTTTTACTGTGAGAGACCAGATGGGCTGTGCTGCCAAAAGCACCTTATTGCCCAGCAAGCAAAGAGCTGCAAGGCTTCCCCAGGCACAACCCTCTTCCCCAGGGAGCAGCTCTCATGTGACACTAGCGTCCAGTACCACTGTGGAATATGACCTGAAGCCTGGGTCATACTCACACCCTGCTCAGCCAGAGCACAACCTTTRGGGACATCAGAGAGGAAGATACCCAAAGAGCTCCAAAGAGCTCAGCTGGGTCTTTAGATCCTTAACAGGAACCTGTGCTCTGGGCTAGGAGAGTAATTTTGACTTGTAAATGCACCTTGTGCAGTACAAAAATGTTTGCTGAAATCCTTTGTTTTATTCTCTGCTGTGTCACTCTTACCTCCTCAATTACCMAAATTCTCATTGTGCAAGCACCAAGTGCTTAAGACGTGTGTTTTAGCTTCTGTGTCAGCCCCACACCTCTGACCACGTCAGGACACAGGGCCTGCAACCCACACCCCCTCGCTGCCCTGGATGCTCTTTGCTGACATCACCCTTGGCTGCAGGCAGAGCCTGAACCCTCCTTTGCCCAGCTCCACCCTGCCAGCAACCCCCTAAGCAGGACACATGGCAAAGCAGGCAGCCAGACCCCAGCCACCCAACAAGGCACAGCCCCATTTCCCACCTCCTCCCACCACCCAGAAAAGGGAGAAAAGGCACAGGRGACACTGACCGGTGGCTTGCACGTTGACGATGGCGCCCTGGGAGCGCTTGCGGGTCATGGCATACCAGGAACCGTCCGGGTCCTGGATCCACTCRGCCGCCTCGCAGTAGAACTCGCCCTGGTCTGACGGGTGCAGGTTGTAGATGGTCAGTTTGGAGGTGGTCTCCCCSACTTTGTCCAGCCGCACGTCCCCCGTGGCGTGGCGCTGGGCGTAGGCGCCGCCAGCCCGCAGGACGAAGTCGCGGCTCAGGGAGATGATCTCCACAGGCGCCTCGCCGCCGCGCTGTCGGTACCACGCAATGGAGACGTGGCTGTGCTGCTCCGTGCTCTTGGACACCTCGCACTTGAGCTCCAGGGAGTCGTGCTCCACCTTGTTGAGCGTCTGCGGGATGGCCGTCACCCGCAGTGAGTCGGGGATCACTGCAGCAGAGGGGCACAAACAGCCTGCAGTTAGCAATGCTGAAATGCTGAGTCTAAGGGCCAGACACCTTGCAAGAGACCTGGGGGAGAGCTTTCTTTTTACAGCTGCAATTAAACATTAAGTATTAGCAGGCCCTGTTAACTCACATCCAGCCCCTAAGAAGAGGAGAATCGTCCCCAAAGCCCCTGGCTGGGAAAGACCATGACCTGCAGCACACACTTCAGTGCTTAAATTCCCACCCAGCAGTCCCCAGCAACTAAACAAGGTTTTCCATCATGCTGCAGAGCAGCAGGGTTTAATACTCCCATTTCCCATCATGACATTTTGTCATGAGGAGCCTCTCCTCCATCCTGTGCCCCTCAGCATGCTCTGTGACCCCCTCTTGCCCACATCCTTAGCCCTGGCATGGTCGTCACCCCTCCTCAGTCATGGGTGGGGCCAAGCCAAACATTCAGCGCCTTTAAACTTTGCTCATAAAAAAGTCAGGAGATCCAATTCCCTTCTCCTTTGTTTGTATCGTTTTATCTCTTAATGACCCCCTCAGGCCAAAGGAAGGGGTTTCTGCATTCAGAGGGAACTGGCTCTTCTGAGGGCAGCAATACAATTGCATCCTGACCAGCGCTTGCTCCCAGGACACGGCCATGTCAAGGCACGTGGTAATTAAACTGCTGGCTACTTTTACAGTTGATTAACCAGAGGAAAGGAAGTAACAACTGCTATGATCAGGAAGAAAACAAAAAATTGCAGCCCTCCAACCTTGCTTGGATTTGGCAAGAGGTGGTTCTACGACCGAAAGACAGGCTTTTTAATAAAGAAGCTTTTCCAGAATTGGCTGTCTCAAGAAACATGATGTGGAAAGAAGAATGCAAACCTTCTCCCCAGCTCTGCAGACAAGGCAGCGTTAGCGAGCCTGTTAATGCCCACGGTTTTGCCACGTACCAGTGGAATATAATTAACATAYCTCAGTTTGGTTTCATTGACAGCACTGGATGGTTCGACAAAATTAGCTGAGCTGCCAGAAGTTGCATCTGCTTCATTCAGGCACTGCTACAGAGAGCAATGAGCTGCAGCGAGGACAACCACTGGGATTATTTATGGCAGAAAAGTCAAAATCAGAAGAGGGCAAAGAAAAAGAGGAACAAGCTGGGAGTAAATGAGAGAGAAATCTTCCCACATCCAATCTGGATGGGACCGTTTTCTTTTACCACACGTTCCATACCCAGGTTACTGCCCCTGGCAGGAAAACAATCTTGTGAGGCTGCTTACATTGCAGGTCATTGTCTCTGTGCCTGTGGCCACATGTCCTACTCCCTCCCTTCCCCTCATCTTTTTCACTGGAACTCCCATCCCCTGCTCACTGGCAACAGCTTCTGGCCAGGATTCTTCTTGCTTCATCTTTCCCCTTACCCTGACTCCCAAACAGTAGTGACATCAACAGTGAACCTTGCCTGTTCAGCTGCCTGCACAAGAAGCTTTAAACTTCTCATTTCAAATCTTACTGAATAATTTCCACAGATGTAGAGCTCCTTTCTCTTTGCCCTCCAGCCATGGGCTCTTACAACTTCTCTTATGTTATTTAAATAAATTAAGCCTAATCATCATCTTGCTGGAGTGACTTTCCTGGGGAAATGCTTTGAATGTAGATACTCTGTGCAACAGCTGATGGGGTGAAAGCAGGTACCTGTGAAGGAAGTGTGCCTGTCCTCTCCCTCGATCTGAGAGCCCTATGCACCCCATCTGTCCCCTGTGTGTCCCCCAGCACAGCTGCTCTCTGGGTAAGCACAGGGAGCTGCTGACCCCAGGAGCCTGTCTGGCTTTGCAGGACAAGCCAGGTCACRCTCCAACAGGGGACAGGCACTTGACCTGCCAGACATGGAGCTGTCCACTTCCTGGGAATAATGCTGGGAAGCCTGTYTGGAGACTGGGCCTCAGGCAAGCACTTGCCACACTATTCCCTGAGCAGGTTGGAGGCTAGCACAGACAGCATTTTGCCAGCTGGAACCACGCCTTCGTATTTCCAGGTCATAACCCGGCTGGAGGGTCAGCATCCTTTATCCCACAYAGGCAAGCCATTGCAAAATGCACTCCTGGAGAAAAATCAGGAGGTGTCAGTGTGTGGTTAAAGCTGTGATTTAACTATGGTAACACCTGACATGCTCTGCTGCATTCCTCCTGCTCCTTCAGTTAAAAAAGCCAATCAAGATCCTCACGGTGAGAGGAGCTGGTAAAACCTTTTGGGCTATGCACAGCCTTAAGGTGTCTGTCTGACATCAGCCTGGCAGGGACATTTATTCAATCAGTGCCATCTTCCTAACCAAGAGTACTTGAGACCTGCTTGATAAATGAAAGCCCAGTTTTGGAAGGATCAGACGATCAGGGAGGAACAAGCTGGAGCCCTGAGGTGGCTGGGGCAGTGGAGAGGCTCTGTACTTCATGGCACCACTCTCACGCTTGGCCAGCGATGCACAAACTGCTGTTTTATTTACACGGCAAGACGTGYCTTTGGTATTATGTTCAGGGAGCAAGGAGCTTGGTAGGAAAMGGGAAAATGCCATTCTCAAGAGGCAGCTGAACATGGCAGCAGGTCACAACTCCTTCCAGAATTCCAATGAGAATTTCTGAGCGCTGTGGAGCACCAGGGACTCCCACAGCAGGGACACAGGTCTGCTGGGGCTCACACACTGCTCCAAGAGCAGATCCCACTGGTCTGCACCAACAAGAGGTTACTGAGAGGGGATCTCATCAATGTATACAAGTATCTGAAGGKCAGGTGTCAAGAGGATATAGCTAGGTGTGGTGCTGAGCAAGAGGATGAGAGAAAAATGAGGAAAACTTCTTTACTGAAAGGATGACAAGAGCACTGAAACAGGCTGCTCAGAGAGGTTGTGCAGGCTCCTTCTCTGGAGATACTCAAAAGATTTCTGGGCACAATCCTGAGCAACRTGCTCTGGGAGGAGATTGGTCTAGCTAACCTTCAGGTCCCGCCCAATCTCACCCATTCTGTGGCTCTGTGTAAGGAGAGGGCTACAGGCACAGCTTAGCCCATCAGGCTGGAGCACAGCAGGGCTGGAAGTTACAGAGGAAAAAGGAAGCAGGGAATACTGTGAAGCTGCTCACCAGGGCAGGACAGAGCATGCAGGGAGGTGTGCTACCAGAAGACGAGTTCCTCCCAAGCCAGTCACCCTGTTCAGGCTTCAGAGACATCAATTTCCATTATCAGGACATGAGTGTGTCTTTGCACAGTGCTCACCTGGGAGCCTTGGCTGTGCTGACAGCCTTCCTGCTGCCAGCCGCCCACGCTCATCCTGCAGCCACCTGCCACAGGGAGCACCAGGACTTCTGGGGACACTCGGCAAGCTGAGCGTCACTTGAAAGCAAGGACGAGCTTAGATGAGAGTCACCTCCCTGTATGAAAGGCAGCAGAGCCAAGTGGGATGCTGCAGGACATCCTTTTGCTCYTTCTCACCCAGCTCCTGCCTGTCTCTCCTCTTTTCCTGTGCCATCCAGGCAGCCTGCTCTGCACTTCCCCCAGCACCCAGCCYGGCTTCCTCCTTGTCTCCCAACACAAGGTCATCCCTGCAGCTGYCATGACCCTCTGGAGGTGCCAGCAGAACTCCCTTCTCTCCAGCATCAAGGTTAGGTTTGGCAGCAAGCACCTGGACAAGGAAATGAGCGAATGAAAAGCAATTCCTGGGAGCAAACGTACTGTGCTACCGCCATTCCTGAGCTAGTCACTGCTGACAGCTTTGAGCTCATTCTTACAACCCCTRAGAGCAAGGAACACAGCATCTCCTATGAGTCCCCAAGGCACAGGTCACTGCAGAGGGCACTGGGATGGGCACTCGGTGGTGGGTGGGCKGCTGAGCGCAGGGTGCTCACAACCACCACAAAGTTTTGAAAGCTCCTGAAATATTAAACATAAATATTTCCACTAGAGGGTGTCAGGGACCCAGCCAGGGAGACTCCCAGGGCCAGCTGGCAGGACCTGGAGCTCAGAGCTGCTCCCCGCTGGCCAGGGCACCCCTCTTCAGGGAGCCTGCACACCCAGCTCCAGTCAAACCCACCTCAAATGCACACACCTCAATAACACACARTCAATGAGCACTTGGTGAGCTAATCATGACTAACTTCAGGACAAGGAACTGGCTCACAGTCTCCCAGAAAACAGGGAGAGAGCAGAGACTGGAGTTCCCAGGCATGCACTTGGTACACACCTCAACACTCGTTTCTCCAAGCCCCAGGACMGGCTCCATTCCCAGCAGCTCCCGGTGACATGCTGAACCCTGCCCACGCACACAAKGATGATCCAGGTGTCTCCCTTTACCTCAGGCTGGCTCTGGTTCATCCTTGGGTCTCCCAAACCCCAAACACCTCCAAGGGATAGGCTGTCAAAGCTTTTATGAGCCAACACAAAGCAGAGATCTGCCAACATTTCCTCACCTCCCAGGCAAGGCAGCAAACCTGCCTGAGACGCCCGATCCTTGCAAAGCGACGCAGGGGGAGCATCAGGCTGGGAGCCAGAAGTGCTCCAGCTTGAGCTGGTAGGACAGAGCTGTGAAAATCACTGAACACCAGGGCAGCCTTACAATTCAAGCTCCTCAAGAGTAAAACAACTTACACAGGCTACCTAAACAGATGGACCATCTCAGAGCCGCTGCAGAAAAAACAGAACCCACCAGTATCTTCTTCTCTTGAAGAAGGGGTGAAAAAAAAAGCTATTTCCTTATAGCGTTTACCCACTGATACACTTTAGAGGCACTCCACGGTGCCACCCTGTGCCCCCAGCTGCACACTTCGTACCACCTGGACAGAGCTAAGCTTACCAAGAATCAGGTGTGAACTATTTAGGAAGGATAAATAAGCATACTCCTTACTCCTAAGAAGCTGTTTCTGGCTAAGACATGCACCCTGGATTTTGCTGGGAATTAGTGCAAGAGTTGTGTTTCCATCTGCCCCACAMCAACTTGTTGCCCTGCAGGGATCACAGCTCAGAACCATA